TAGGATCCTGTCTGAGCAGGTGAACGTACCTACTAATTCAAATCCAGGATAAGCCTTTAAGTCAGTCTCTTGAAAATAAGACACAATACCATGACAAAAGGAGGTCTTACTGTAGGTTAGTTGTGGAAGTTATCTCAACTTTTAAGAAAGTGATCTATTATAGAATGTAAAGGTGTGATTATCCCCCACCTTAGCTTTACAGCGTGCAGCTGCAAAAGGATGGTTATTGAAAATCCATGAAAAAACAGTTTTCAAGTACAGACAGATAAATTCATACCATCTCAGCATCTGCTGCTTGTTTCTGTTTTGCTTCTTTTTCCCTGTGGAGAAGTTAAGATTAGTTAAGAGGCGGTTCTTGTATGGTCAGGTGATCAAAACCAGGCATTTCTGCTGATAAGGACTTACTGTTTAGCTCTTGCTTTGGCCTCTACTTTGTTTTGTTTCCTTTCTTCATTCTTCTTTGTACAATACTCTTCCCTTCAATGGAATGTAAACTTTGTTAATACTACTTAGATTATTCCACTGTAATTACTTTATAAGACAGTCTCAACTATTAATTGGCTACTTCTGCCTTTAGCTGTCAAAATACTCATCTCCAAAGATCTGTGTTATTGGTATCTGTAAAGCAGCATAGAAACTTCAATCCACCCTTGACCACTCTTATCAGCTCACACATCAGGTAGGTGGACTTACTTGAAAAGCACTATCAGCTCTGTGTCTTTGTACTTTTGGTTTGGGATTTCTGTGAACTTCTTGGCAGATTCAACACTATCAAACACTGCAAATATTGACCCCTGTTGAGTAAGATACATTTCATTTTAGAATAATTTAACAAAACGTACTGCACAAGGCATCCCTGCCCCGGGTCTAACTGTTCATTGCAAGAGCTACCTTGAATGTTTTCTGCAGTGTTCTCCTCATTTGAATGTTTTCAACTGGACCTTTATCCTCCAGCCATTCTTTGATATCATCAAGAGTTGCATCTAATGGAAAGCCTTTCTGTAAAACAGCACAAAGCTTCAGTTGTATGCAACAAACTGTAATACCTCATCAGAAATAACCCCCTCACTATCTACTATGAGTTAACTCAAGTTGATTTTGGTTAGATGCTTTTCAGTCAAAGCCACCCAGAATAGCTCAGAGCAAAGGAAGAAGCTTACTTACAACATATACAGATCTGTTTTTAATTGCAGCTTTGTATTGGTCGTTTAATTCAGGAAGGGGTTTATTTGGAGATCTTCTGATTTTAGTTTTGTCTTCATTTATTTCCATTAGACCAGTCTTGGATTTTCTTAGTGCTTCTACTATAACACCAAAATCTTTCGAAAGGCGACTTAACCTATCAAGTAAGGAGACGCAGGTTATGAAAAATACACAGGGAGAAGCTGAAGCCACATGTTAAAACAGCAAGAGGAAATGCATGTGCAGAACAGACACGTTTGGCCACCAAAACAGATTTTAGTAGCTGAAAATTACCCTTCTATCCAAATTAGATGTACTTTGCTTTACCTGTTGAATTTGATCATTACTTCCAAAGGCACCCAACCATCATCTAATTTGATCTGTTCCTTTAGGAACTTGTCTCTTGGTAGGTTGTGATTGCCAAAATAGTACTGCAAAAAAAGAAATATTTGTTTTGAAATGTTCACGCTTCAAAAGCTCTTTTCTGTTAGACGATTTACAGCAGTGGATGAAAATGTTCAGGATTCTAATTGTTATTTTTATTGGAATTCTCATATTCTTACTTCCTGCTTTAATGTGACACTTCCAAAAGTAAATCATAATAGCAAATTATGCAGCTTGCTAATAGTTTGAACAGCACAGATTCCCGAACAGGATTTTTCCCCCACAATTAAGCCACACTGAATTAAAATGCATCTTCCTATTTGCATGCAAAGAATAACCCCAACAAACACAGTAATAAGTTGTTTACTGATGCACAACTTCCCGTTAGCCAAGTCCCTACCAATTAAGGTCTCCAAAAACTACATTTCAGTTCAGGTCCCAAACTATAAATTGAACTCACCTCAATTTGCTGACAGATTTTGCTCTCCAAGATAGACATGTTTTCACCATCTCCATTTTCAGCCATTTTCACCAGCTGTGTTGAAGAGAAATCAGAGCAAAGTCACTAAATACTAAGAGCTTTTCTGTAGTGCTGCATTTAATTGCAGTCTCTACAAGATCTTCAGCTGCCTTTATTTTTGTGAATCAGCTCTAAATGTGACCACAGAACTTCCAGGTGGAAACTGGAACAATTAACAAACAAATAAAATACTTCAGTATTTCAGGTTTTTGCGTTCTACATTCAAGATTGACATACTGTCAAAGGTAAATACTTTACCTTTATTCTAGTCACAGATCCACAGCAATAGATTTGAGCCAATAATAACTAACATTTGTCAAATCAAACCCAAGGCCTCACAGCCAGGCAAAACATCTCTAACAAGATTTGTTTGATATTTCCAGTAAGTGTAAACACTTCTCAAGGAAAGAATGAGGAAAAATGTGGGTTTGTAAAGGTGTCAGAAATCAGCCTAAATTCAGCTTTGAAAATCGAAGCACAGATTTTGAGTTTCTCCCTTTGGGCTCTTATCACACTCATCAAACCCAGCTGCAGAAGATGAAGCAGATTCACAGCCTTCAGTTTCCCCAGTGTTCAGTCAGTGAACATCAGGACTGCAGGTGAAGATGGGTTTGCATTCCAGTCTTGCACATCCTAGTCTCCACTACTGTACTTCCACCTGTACCTAAATGCTGGGACACTTTGAAAAGTATGATTTTACCAAGTGTTAATTAACAGCCATGCTCAAAGCATCATCCATCTATAAAGTACTCTGCAGAAACTCAGGCCACAATCTGCTGGCGCACGGTTGCAGTCATTTCAGAGATGTCCCACAGCAGGCAGCCCAATTCCAGCAAACCAATCAGTTCACCACCTCACTCAGGTGCCATCATTATTACACTCCCCCATGCTGTTGTCCCTGGCACCTGACTCCCAAATAAGTTTCTGATACTACCTAACCTTGTTGAATTTATTGTCAGCTTAGAATAGACAGAATAGACTCAGCTTTTTCAACTAATTAACCATACATCATGTGCCTTTGCAGCACCTTATCCAAGGAAGGCCAACCCACTGAAAACTGTTCCACTTGATTCATTTTATCACTAACTTGTTACAGATTCTCAGAGACACCTTGACAGGGCTGGTGGGGCTGGGAGATCAAGAGACCATGAAAACCAGGAATGCCCTTCTGTCTGGGGAAGGTGACTTAGCACACATTGCTATGGCTCTTCTCCAACATGGCCGATTTTGTTAAGCACTATGCAATCTTTTAAGTGAACCACTGGCCTGCAGATGCTTTTCACAATGCAGCTCAATTATTTAAGATAACATACTACCTACTAGGAACTATGGAAAATGTTACTGTCTTGCATATTCTGAGGGGGAAAAAATAGTATGATGGATTTTAACTATGTATCTTTTTTAAAGAAACCCCAGCACAAAGAGAAAATGTGCAGTCGCACCTACACTGAACTGAGGAGAGGAACCATGCACCATCAGCTCACAGCTGGCAGCATCCAGCAGGACAGTAGGAAAAGGCCAGGCAGAGGCAGCTGCTACAAGATCCTCTCGGGGTGAGATGCAGCCAGGCTACACCAGTCTGTCCCTTCAGCTGCTCTTGTTTGGTTTTACAGTACCAAATGGTACCCTTCATACAAGTCTCCATTAAAATAAGATCAGGGGTCCTTTAGGCCACTAGGCAGTGCTGCGCAAGAGAGGAATGAGCAGAGGCAGCATCTGAAGTGATAGGCTGACAGAAGCGCTCAGCAAAGCCAGCTGTTATGCTTCAGTTTCGTCATTTAGAGAGAACTCCCTTTCAGTCTGCTGGGGGCAGCCTGGCTCTTGTAACCCCCCCAAGAAACATCCCTTCTGAACCACGCAGGCACTCCTGTTTTTACCACTGGGTACCGCAGAGGCCATTAAGAACCGCTGCGGTAGGAGTGCCGTGCAGCGTTATGGAAAAACGGGCCCTCGCCTTAACGCGCTCCCTCTCGTCCTTCACGGCCACTCCGCAGCCCCGCCGCCCGCTCTGGGAGCCCAGCTCCCCCAGCGCGCCTCGCGCAGAGGCCCCGCTCCGCTGCCAAGAAGAGCAGAGCTAATCCTACCTCCTCGATAGCGCTTCGGGGCAGAAAAACATCCCACAAGGAAGCTTAAAGCAACGGAGGACTACGGCAAGCCCTTGAGATGAAGCCTTAGAACCGAGAAAGTTTTACTCCTGGGCACGGCATCCAGGCCGGCAGCGCCGAGCCGTGCAGCGCCAGAGGCCGCTCCGTCCGCCGCACACAAGGACCGCCGCAGCAGCGCGCGAGAGCAGGACGGGCGCGAAGTAGAATTCGTCGTGCCGAGTAGTAGATGCGAGAAGCACCGCTCCCGGGCCGCCCCGCAGCGGCGGTTCCGCGGGGCACGGCTCTGCCGCTCGCCATGTGCCGACACCCGCAGGCACACAGGGGTGCGGCGCGGGACGCCGACAAGCAGCGGGCAGCGCGTGCCCTGCGCAGCGGATGCGGGCGGCGGCACCATCCGCCCGGCCCCGCGCTCCCGGCCTCCTTTCCCGGACGGCCCGGCAGCGAGAAGCGCGGGAAGCGCGGCCCGGAACGGCCGGCGGCCCCGGCCCCCTCGCGCGGTCCCCATCACCCGCCCGGAGCTGTCCCCGCGCGGAGTCGCCCTCACGCCTCGCCGCCCGCATTCCCACCTGCGCCGCTTGGCCCGGCTCAGACCGCACGCGGCACCGCTCCGCCGCTTGAAAGGCTGCAGGCTGCGCCGCGTGCCCAGCAGCCACCGCCGCCCTCACGTGGGTGCCGCTTCCGGGGCGGGGCCGCTACCGGACATGGCGTCTGCAGGCGGGTTGTCGACCGTTGTAGCTGCGGCTATTGGAAATTGCAAGCGTTCGAATACGTTTGCGTTGAAGATACTAACGGTGCTATAAATACCGCTGTCACGTGGATAAAAGCTTTAATAAAGCGCAGCGAGTTCATCGATTCAGCTTACGTGCCGTTCCTTCAGTTCGCCAATGGAACAGTCAAAGGATCGCCGCCCCCGGACAGGGCCAGGAGCGCAATGGCCGCCCGCGTGCAGCCCGCCGCTAAAACGCGTCAGGGGCTGAGGAGCCCGTTCAACTGGCAGCGCAGGTTACCGTACAAAAAGCAGCACCGGTAGCAATAAAGTCCTTGAACTTTTACACTCTGTTTAACGCATTCACAAATCCCTAAGCCCTAAGGGCTTGTCAGAAGTCACGGCAGATGCCGCACCGCTCTCCCAGCCCCGAGGTTCCTCTCGCAGCAGCAGACCGGGCCCCAGCGCTGCGCTGCAGCCCCAAAACCGCCCCGGCTTTCCTCAGAGCCAACACGCCGTGTCCGGGAGCTGACGGAACGGTGCTGGCAGGCACTGCCGCTTCCAGCCTGGGTCGTAGCCCCGCACCGAGCTGCAGCTCACAGGGGTGGGAGATGTGGTGCAAGAACGTCGAGGCCAGCTACAAGCAGCTGCTCCCGTCGTCGTGTTTTTCAATACGAAAACATGAGCTTTGAAATAATAAAAACGTTGAAAATTTTTATGATTAGGATAAAAAAAATGCAGTGAACTCAGAGTTCACCTCCTTGGATCATACCTGACCAATCCAATAAAACCCAAGCTTATTTCCAAGAAGAAAGGGCAGTACCATTAGGAATATTGCATCTGTTTTCTTCACCAGCACTGTGGAAATCTAATGCTTACACATTATACACACAGACACAGCCATGTGAACGCATGGCACTGGGAAGGTTGCCTACTGCTTCCCAAATGTTTAGTTCGGGGTTGAATTTCTCAATACTCTGCAGATATGTTCCTTTGGAATAGGAATATCCTCCTGTCACATAGATGCACCCGTTCATCACCACCGCGCCACACTCCATTCTCCGTTCCAACATGTGAGCCATCTGCTTCCACTCATCCTGCTCTGGGTCGTAGCAGTCTGTGATCGTGGTCTGTCCACCCACAAAATAGATCTTGTTTTGCAATGTGATTGAACACAGTCCATATTCTTCAGGAAGAAAGGAACACGGTTCAACTCAGCACGATAACATTAACTGACAAAACAAACATTGGGCACACAGAGATCAGCTAAGGGTCCTCAGTGATCTGAGGGGGCACATCAAGGATTTCTGCTACCCATGGTCAGAGCAAGCCCAAGGTGTTACAAAGCACACATAGGAAAGCAGCAGTATGCACTGATAATCTCTTTAGAAACTTACTGTTACCAAATCTAGGAAATAAAAAAAATCCTTTTAAAAAGCATACAAAAGATCTTTGCCAAATGTCCATGAACAGACAGATTTTATGGAAAGCTAGCTTGCTATCATACTTAATAAATTGTAGCCACTCCTCAGCCAAATGTTTATGGAGTGATTTCCATACAACATATGCTTGTAAGAAGGGCTTTCCCCTGGTAAATGGTCAAGCATCCACTCTGGACATCACTGCCCTACCGGATACCTTCCTTTCAGTCAGAACACTCAAGGGGGTTTAAAAGCCCCCAGTTTGGAACAAAAACATCACATTCCAGAGCTTGTTGTTTACCTGGATGTGGACTTGTGGTGACGATGCTCCACTCATTGCTACCCGAATGGTATCTCTGGATCTTATCATAGGTGCAGCTTCCCCTGTAGCCATAATGACCGCCAGTTACGTAGATGACTTCGTGCAGGACACAGGCAGTGGCGTTCCCAACACCTGCACAGTACAACATCACAACACACCTTCAGACCACACACAGCACCGAACAGCACTTCCATCAATAACCCCAATTTAAATAGCTTGTTAATTAGTGTTTTAGGATGAAACTATGCTTGCAAGTATTTAAGTGAATGTGAAATTAAATAAACTGCCAAGACATCTTATTTTAGCAGGATAAGTCATGAACAATTAAATAAAATTGCAGTAACTGACGTGTATTGCACATAACATGGCCACAAAGAAAAATCACAATTTTTATTGCATCACTAAGGGCATGGTAACACTGGCTTTGGAACAGGGAATTACTTCCACTAGGTTTAACTCATTTTTAAGTGTCACATATGTGGCAAGGACAAAGTCAATGGAAGCTGAGATTACTCAGTGTCTCAGCATATTTTTCCTGATATTTTGAGTCTTTCTTTTATTGTTAGCAATGCTATTATACAAAGAAGGACACAAATGGAATGTAGCTGTGATAGCTCTGTCTCTGGGAGAACAAAACAAAGATAAAACAATAGCTCTGCAAGATAACATGGACAAAAACTAGCATGTTGGTGTGTTTTTAAGCCTCTAGAAAGTTTCACACAGAAAATGGGTGTGGATATCTGCTTGCAGTATTAGTGTAGCATTCATAATTTTAAATTAAAAATGACTAATAATAATATTTGTAGGAGATATGTGAACATTGGAGAAACAGTGGCATGAGCACAGTAAGTGTTTTTCTCCTGTTAAATACCTCAAAATCTCTGAAAAAAATTGCTTTGCAACAATTTACAATAAAATCTTTAAAAATATTTCATAACAAATAGTAAATAATTACATTAAGTTGTAAAAATGTATGATAAGATGTATGATTCTTTATATGCTTTATAACAAAATAATATCAGTTAGTTAGGTTGTTCTCCAAGCACATGTATTTTCAGTAGGTCACTATTTTGGCTGCTAAAAATAGGTATCTGTGCTTTTCATTATCCTTACTCCAAAGATTTAACTAAGGATCCTGAACAGGTGATACTCTGGAATATGAGAAAGCTGCATGTAAGATGTCTTAAATGAAGACACACTTATAAATAAACTGTACAGAAAACCATCAGGCCTTATACCAAACTAACACAGTCCCTTTACTGGAGCTCACTTTTTGAGGACCTGCTGACCAGACTCTAATCCCAGGCAGCGTTCTAACTTCTTTCCAACTCAAATAGAAATTTATCTCCTGAAGGAAGACAGACTTAAATGGCACTGCCATTTGCTTGTCCACTCTGTGCCCGACGGCACAGCCCAGTGCAGCCATTGGGTGTTTGTAGCAGCTTGGCCCACACAGACCTGAACCAAAGCCTCCTGACATCAATGGGATGATCCCTCTGAACTCGACTAGGCTCTAGTCCTGAATGTATCTGCGGCACTTCTCAGTGGCAAACACAAGAGGACTGACATTGAGGCTGATGCCTCATGAGAGCTTACGTACCTTTGATCATGTTTGCAATAGGAACCCATTTCTTTTTCAAAGGATCATAGAACTCAGCTTCTTGCACCGGAGCTCCCTTCCGGTAGCCACCCAGTGCGTAGATGCAGCCGCTCAGGGACACTGCACAGTGGTAGTATCTCGCATCAAGCATGGGGCAGCCCTGTGCCCACTCATCCCGTTCACTGTTATATATCCACACAGTATCCAGGGCTTCGATGCTCTCTGTTCTGTAGCCTCCTGTCACATATATGTCTGGCCCCAGGCTTGTGACCCCATAGCTCTCTCGAGTGTGATCCGGCATTTCTGCTCCTGGGAGCCATGCATTAGTTAAAGGATCCCAAACATGCACTTCTGATAAGGGATGCCAATAATATCCTCCAACCACATACATGGTGGCCGTTGGTCTTTTGGAAAGGCCTTTGGGACTGGGGTTTAGGGCCCTGTACACGAGGGACCTTATCTTATTATCATTAAGTCGGCATTTTTTTTGCAGGCTTAAAGCTGACCTCAAATACATGTTATCCAGGTCTAGTTTGATGCAGCTCAGCAGTTCATAGATGTCTTCAATTCTTTCCTCTACATTGTGCGCAACCCACCTAACAACAGCTCCGACAGCTGCCTCTTCTTTCCAGACATTGAGGTTCTCTCTGGAGAGGATGAAAGCCAGCTTCTCCTTGCTAACATCCAGGAACTCCTCCTGCTTCCACACTTCTTCAAACTGCCACAGCAACATCCTCCGGGACTCCTTTTCCAGTTCCAGACAATTGTGGTGCTCAGCAAAAGCATGCATCCCAAGGCAGTTGTCAGCATCCAGGTGCCTGACCAGAAACTGCTCACAGGCTCTCTTAACTGAGACAAACTGGAGGAGATCAGCCGCCTGCAGCAGGCTTTGCACGTTTCTCTTTGTTATTTGGATCTGGGAGGTGTACGCATAATTCACGAGGGCTTCCAGCACAGCATGGCTGAGCTCAGGAAGCCTGATCTGGTTTTTAGATTTCTCTTTCATATCGGCTGTGAACATGGCTCTGAAATAACAGCTGCAAGCCGCCAGGACGGCTCTGTGGCAATGCAGCAGGACCCCCGAAGCGGCCTGAAGCGCGATGTCAGTGAATAACCCGTCTAGGTAGAACGCCCGGAACGCGTCCAGCAGGCACGCAGGGTGCGATGAGTCGCGGTAGGCGAACACGTAGTCCTCCTGCCCAGGCAGGGCCATCGTTACCACTGCACAAAGACACCCACAGCCCTGGTACTCACCCGGCGGGGGCCCCTCCACAGGGTCAGCAGCCCCCAGCTGAAGGGCGGGGAGACGCCGGCCTGAGTCGCTGCTGCCGCTGCCCTGCAGCTCCACAGCCCCCAGGGAGGGGGGGAAGGCTTATAGCAGCGATGACATACGGCCCCGCGGCTGTCAGCCCTATTAGGGACAGATGCTCCGGGAGCGTCACCAAGCCAGTGGCACACGGCCACGCAACAAAGCCAGAGTGCCTCTGACAGCCTGTGAGGAGCAATGTGGAGAAGGGATCCCCTAAAGAGGAGATAAGGTGGAGGAGGGCTGAGCCCTCCTCAGACACCTGAGTGTTTGCAGAGCATAAATGACAGTCACAAAGTGTGCTGGCTAATGCACTCCCAAGACTGTGCTGACTCCAACTTACAGGCAAATTGCCCAGGAAGAAGTTTATATGGCTGTCACTCCTTCTGAAAATGAGGTTCACAGTTTCTCTTCTCTGCTGGCACATTTCCTACAGATACAGGGATCCCTACATGTAAATGAAGCACAACGAGCTTAAGGTGGTTGTGCTCCCCCCAGTGGGAATTGGACCTTTGGACCCGCAGCCGGGCTCTGCCTGCTCTGCCAGTGCCCTCCTGGGCTGAAAGGGCTGTCCAGGACCCCTTCACCAAAGGAAGGCAAGCATTTGCTAGGTTTAGCAAAGTGCCTGCACACCCTAAAAGAAGAAATTAGGAGAGTTCCTGCTCTGCACAGATTAATAAGCTTTTTTTTCTTTCTTTCTTCTTTTAATTACCAGTGGTACTTCCTCCCTAGTTCCCACTGAAGTGTGAATTAAAGAAGGAATCTGAGTGGGAAGGTGTATATGGACATCCCACTGCATCCCTCCTCACACACAAATTGTGCAATAGGACTCACACTTTCCATTAGCCTTTATGTAACAGCACAAGATGTGAACAAGCTGATCCAAAAATACCTCGCAAATTCTTCACATATCTTTGCCTTCAGTTTTTTTCAGCCACTTTTGATGTATTGTCAGCCCAAGAAATCTGAGTTATGTGATGTGGTGCAGCCCAAAAATTACTGCAGCCCAGCTGCTCTCACCAGTGGCTGTCCCACAGCTACATTGCTCACTCCTCTTCTTTCTCTGGAGCATTCCCATGTAGGGTCCCGACTCTGTTTATACGTCCCCATGCCAACAAGTTTGTTTTGCTGCTGTTTTTCACTTTCCATTTCACCAGCTGCCTATGGATAAGCAGGAACTTCTCCCAGCTCTTGGCCAGCCTCCTAGCATATAAGGTCAGGGTATAGGATTTCAGCTCAGTACTCCCCATACTAACTGGTGTGTGGTAGCAGGCCTGTTACCATACAGAATATTTCCATATACACAAGAGCCTCCCATTACATATTCTGTAACATCTCAGCACTTCCTCAGAAGTTGACACCTCCCTTCCACAGAGCACGTTGTTTAAACAGCCAGCAGTCACGTCAGTAACAACCTACACTGAACCAGCGTCCCATCAAGGACCTGCTCTGCCCTCTCCTTGCCTTCCTGGCAGCTACCAGCTAAAGTTGACTTCACAATCTGGAGATAATCATCTCCCCCCCTTATACTCAAAAGTGGAAAAGTTTGGTAACTGTGGCGCTACAGAAAAGTGATTAACATGGGAGCAGGGAGGGCAGAGAGGGAGGACCTTATTAATTGCTTAATGGCTTACCTACCGGAATGGACAAGTTCTTTCTGTCTCCAATATGCACTTTGCCCAGAAAATAGCACTGGCTCTACACTCTACTAGAAGTGATTGGATCATAATTGCAAATCTTTTCAATTAGTTGCTTCATTTCTTCTCATCTCCTGCTTCTCTACTCTTAAAAACAACCAAAAAATTTATTTCAGTATGAATGTGAATTTCTTGCTGAAGGAATCAGCAACAGAGCGAACTGCAACATGAGGTTTCTAAGGCTAAAAGAATAACAAACGTAAGTGGAAGTGAAAGATGAGTACTTATTTATATACCAGGTGGTTGGGTTTGCACTTTGTTTTTTAAATAAGCAGTGAGATCTGGGGACAAGCTGAAAGCAAGCTGCTTTACAACCAAGATATGGAAAGCACAATATCTGCAACCCTTAGCAGCATACCTAGAATGAAGGAGATGCACGACTTTGGAGGGAAAAAAAAAAAAAAAACACCAAAAAAACATGCAATACCACACAACACCACACAACGTTTATCACTATTTCTCGTACAGGCTACAAATCAGCAAACTCAAACAGCTTGAAACCTTCAGTTAGTGAGATGCTGTCTCTGTGCCCATGCACAATACAACAGGGCAAACTCCCCAGTACAACTCAGACAGCTATCAACTACCCATCATTAAAGCCATGCTCCTGAGAACCTGTATGTATCATCTGGGACACCTCAGTCAACAAACTGTTCAAAGCAACCTTCTGCAATTAGTTAAAACAGATGAAGAGCTAAAAGCCAGACTATTTACAAAGCAGTACTTGAAGAAAATCTTCATTTATACATTACTGGACCTAAAACAGGGGAAACCATTCTTAAAAACTCTCAACTTAAAAAAAAAAAAAAAAAAAGTGAGTAATAACAATATTAAATGCCAGTAAGAAAATGAAAACAACACCCAAAGACAATGCAGAAGACATCTACATCAGCTGCAGGCTGCTGAGCCATATATCTGACACTCGCAGCCATACCGCTGCAGGTTAGACAGAATTCTAAGCTAAGGCATATAAAAGCTAAAACAGACAACAGTTCAATAGCAGACTTTAGCACAACTTGGGACCTCTGGGGAGACTGTCAGAAAGCAAACATTTGGCATGAAGACAGATCATTCAACTTTAATGAGACTGAAGTGCCTCTGTGTGCATAGTACAAGTCTTATGGTTCGTCTCACCACGAGCGAGAAACATGCTTACTACATGCTCACAAATGATTCCTTATTCAAACACAGGCAAATTTTGTTACACAGTTAAAACAGACACAGATGTTCCTTTTCAGCTTGTAGAAGAGGATTACAGGATGCACATAGACAAGAGTGAATAAGTGAAACTGGTACAAGAACGCATAGGGACACACACAGCATTCTGTGGGCAGCAGAAAAAGCAGCAGGCTGAGTCCCATCTGACAGCACAGGCTCTGTACCAAGTGGCAACAATGCAAAGTGACAACATTCCTCCTGTGCTTCAAGAGAGAACTGACCAAAAGACTGTTATTCTGCAGACTGACACCCACACTTGTGTTAAGCCACTCCAGGCCCTTACAGGAACGGAATGCACTACAGAATACCTTACAAAATCAAGCACTGCTCTTCTCAGTGACTGTAATTTTTATTGTCTTTAATACAAACTATTAAAAAGGAATTTAGTTTGGTAAAATATTCAGTATATTAAAAATATAAATGCATCTTCAGATCAAACAGGATTAGAGACATACCAAATCATTTACAAATTAAACATTTATCCCCGATTTTTAAAAAAGTATTCAAAGCCAGAAGTTCCAGAATCACCTTCCTGGTAAGTAAAGCATATAAATTCTTTTAAATAATTATTCTTCTGTGCACTAATCTTACTCCTTCCTTACAGCACATGGAACATCACTTTGGTTGCTGGGAAAGGCTCAGGATGGAGAAGACAAAAGGAATTGGCAATTCCTCACGCAGCCCCCTCCCCCCCACATGCACACTTCTCCACAAAGGTCAGAATGCACACTACGCCTGAAAGCCATTTTAACATCACTTTCCCACTACTGACAAAACTGAAAATACAATTTTATATTATGTTTGAACAACATAAGTTCAGCTAATATCCCAGTTCCATAATGTTGTGTTTCCATGTGCATTCAGCATTTCTCACCCAGGAAGAAAAAAGGATAAATCAGTTTCCTTTTATCACTTCAAATGTTCTTTTATAAGCAGCTTCAGATAAGACATAATTTCAACAGCAGATGACCAAACCAGAACAGAACACTCTATGGGACAGAAATCTCGAGAGAGCTGAGAAATCTTTTTCTCTAGGGTATACCCATGCCTGGGCATAGCAATATCACCCTTCTTCAGAAACATCACAGGGCACAAGTCATTCCCACCATCACCAATATAGGTAATCTGCGTATAACTCACTCCTCTCTCCACCTGTTTATCTAGAAACTCTTTTAAAACTGTCCTTTTGCAAAGGTTTTTAGGGCACTTTGGACAATGGTGGGCATGAAAGTTCTGCACGGTCAGGTAGCCAGTACTGCTGAACACTGCTGGGTTTGTAAACACTTCATCAAACACCTCATGGAAATCAGCAGCTTTTAAAATCCAGTCAATAAATACTGTGTTAGAATCTGAAACAATGATGCAGTCAAAAAACTCTTTGTTCTTGCCAATAAACCCCAGAAGATCGACCATGCCCGCAGTGAAAGGAATTGCTGTCATGGTTCTTTTCATGTCATCTTCTCGGATGCCACTGTCCCCCAAGTAGACAAAGACTCTGCCCATGTATTCTGTCCAATGTCCTGGCCGGTAGGAGTTCCGTAACTCATTGGGAAGCTTTTTGTCAGGGGCACATCTCACAATCCAGGTGTCGCTATTTTCATCCACAATTGTATGGTCAAAATCAAAAACCAACAGAAATTTCATAGCTGTCCATGAATGGGTCCCAAAACAAACAAATAGAGGAAAAAAATATTTACATAAATGAAACTACTGAAATGTTACCCCGGTTCTGCACTCAGGAGAAAAAAAAAAAAAAAACACGTAAGAAAGACAAATACCTGAACAGAAAAAGCTATTTATGGCCACTACAACTATGGGAAAAGTAACGCTGAGACTAAAAACAGCAGTGTGGGAAGGTCAGAGCTGCAGCCCGTGCCAAACCTCCGCCCGCCGCAGCCCCGGACTGCGCCCAGGGGGAGCTGCAGCTCCAGCCGCGGGCCTCGCACTGCAGCAGCGGTTGCACACTTCCCCGCCAGCACTCCCAGGGCACGCAAACCGGGATTCTCCAGCACCTAGAGGGACACTCAGATGGCGCCACAGAGTTCGGAGACATTTGGCGAGCGAAACACCGAGCAGCGGGCGGCTAGGACGCGCCAAACGCAAGGAACCGCGGCCGTGAAAAGCACTGCCGCTCGCGGGTTCGGGCTGCAGAGCACTTCCTCAGTCCGCGCAGCCCCCGCGACAGCTCCGCGCCCCGGCAGGACGCACCTCACGGGCCTCACCGAGCCCCTGCCTGCCGCCGTGCCCGGGCCGAAAGCGGCGGCGGCGGCGCCCGGGGGCCCGCAGGACGACAGGACGCCGAGAGCCGGGAGCGGCACCACCGGCAGCACCGATCGCCACTTCCGGCTCGCGCCGCCCGCCTCCGCTCCGCACCATCACGTGGCCCCGGCGGGGTTGCCCGGCAACGTGGCGCACACACGGCGCCGCGGCCGTCGGCCATGGCGGCGGGGACGAGGTTGACGCGCCGGAGGCGGCAGCTGGCGCGTGAGTGGAGCCTCGCGGGTGAGGGCAGAGCCGCTCCTCGTGACCCTGGGGGTGTTCCCGGCGGGCGGCTCCCACCCGCGTCCTTAGGACGTACGAGCGCACGGGACGAGGGCGGCAAGGCACAGCCGGTGCGCACCGTGCTTTACTGCCTCCCCGGCGTTCCTTCCTCCCTCCCTCCCCGGGGTGCTGTCCGGTCCCGGCTGCTCTCTGACCCACGTCCAAGGGCCGTCCCAAACTGCCAGGTACCACAGGTCAAACCTGCGCACACAAACGGCCGTGGGACGTGTGAGCAGTGCCGCAGCCTGAGCACCAACACCTCTATGGTCAGAACGCGAGACCAGGAGCTGTGTGCTGGCTCCAGGGTGCCGAGGTGGGGAGAGAGACCGTGAAGAGTGCTTACTGTCACTACCGTGCACGAATTCAAACGCTGACACAGGTTTGAATTTAGGATTTCTGACTCCAAATAACATCAGCACTTTTATTCCCCCCTCTATGCAGCATCACATGGATTTGAAGCAAATAACATTCTAGATGGATGTTTTCTTCCAAACGAAGTAGATCTCCGTCAAGTAATTGTATTGCCAAGAGCAGAGTGGGAAAGGATGCAGGATGGCCTCGGCAGCATGAGCAGAGAGGTAGCACGCATCCTCGCGGAGCGAAAAGAACGACAAGAAATGCACTTACGTTCCAAAGCAGCTGTCAAAGACTGGACGAACACCATTATGGTAAGCACTGCGTGCGTTTCTAGACTAGGTAAGTTGTTTTCATGTACCCAAAAAGAGAAGAGCCAAGCTGTGTGGTGTGATCAATGTGCCCAAGGGACAGGATGCCATCCAGAGAGACATAGACAGGCTGGAGCAGAGGGCCCAGACAGACCTCATGAGGTTCAACAAATCCAAGTGCAAGGTCTCACACAGGGGTTGTAGCAACCCCCATTAACAATGCAAGGTGGGGGACGTAAGGACAGAGCACAGCTCTGCCGAAAAGGACTTGCGGGTACTGGTGGATGGCAAGCAGGGCACAAGCCAGCAATGTGCCATCATGGCCCAGAAAGCCCACTGTATCCCAGGCTGCATCAAGAAAATCGTGGCCAGCAGGGTGAGGGAGGTGATTTGCCCCTCTGCTCTGTGCATTGTGATTCTGTGACTCTAAAACACAATAGTATTTACAGGTGTAATCCCTGAGTTTAACATTTGCTTTTAAACATGTATTTTAACTAAGCTCTGCATAAATAGTTTAATTGCCAAACCTGAAATGCAAGAGGAAAAAAAAAATTCATGGAGTGTGCTATCTTCAGAATGGTTTATATTTAATCCACAATTTTTAAATGTGGTTTATAAGAAGGTGAATTTTTACCTGCATTGTAGGGCCAGGCACAAAGAAAACTGAAAGCCAAAAAACTACGTGAAGAAAAGCAAGAGGAAGAAAGAAAGTTACTTGATTTGGAAGAAGCAGAATTCCAAGCAGCAAAATGGAAGGAGACCATCAATAAAGCAAAAGCTTATCTGTACCACCAGAACGAAAGAGTGAAAGGGTTGCATGTCTGTTGACAATTTACAATTTTTCCATTCAAATCATATTGAGTTTATTTAAACACTTTGGACATGCAAATTACTAAAATTGTTCTCTTGCAGAGTGCCCTTCTACTTGCTGAGGTCCTAAAGGAAAGGGATGCTCAAATTGAATTTAAGAAGTTAAAGTCAGATGTTAACAAAAAGAAGGAAGAAGAAATAGAACGTAAATGTAAAGAAGCTATTCTCAGAGAGGAAGAAAAGGTACATCAACGTTATATGAATCGACTGGCACTATGCAGAGATCAGCTGGAACAGTAAGTAACAGTAAAGTAGGATTGTTTTGGATTAATTATTTAGACTCTCTTCTCACAAATACACTCTATAAGGTTTCTACAGAGAGTTAATAATCATTTGTCTCAGAAATGTGACATTTTAAAAAGAATAATCCAAACAAAAGACCTTGCACAAGAAGGAGAAGCAGTGTGGTAAAGTTGCCAACAGTCTGCATGTGAAATCACTTCCAGTAGGCAGCAATAGGTTTTAACCACATCACTATTTCAATTTTGTTCCTGACAGTGTATTCTAAATCAATTTTGATTCCAGAAAAAGAAGAAATTAAATCAGACTGTTGCATTGGCCATAATCAGCTACCAGATAATGCATCTAGAGAACTCATCACTGCTACCTCCACTCTTTCAGCTATTCCCAAGCATTTATTGGGGAGTCACCAATGCAGGTGACAATTACAGAACTGGTGGCTGACAGAAGGAATCAAATTCCCTGATGCAGGTGGTAGGTTTAAAGTCTGGTCTCAAGTGTCCTAGGACTGGAAGAATACTACTGGTTTAAGCTGTTGCCTGCGTGTCCAGACAGAGAAGTTTGGGTATGGTGGGACTTTGGGGAAATCTTGCTCACTGAAGCTGCTGCAGAGATGTGGCAAAATGTAATGGATGCAGAGGTTCTCATGGGTTGTCCAGCATAATCTTGTTACCAGCCATCTGCAGTATATCTGCATATACTATGTAGCTAATTTCTGGTCAGATTACTGAAGAGCTACCTCTACAATGATGATGCTGGTTTTTACCTCAGACATTCTACCCACCTTCTCTTCAAAATACCAGATATTTAAGTGTTAAAGTACCTGTAGACATGCAGAATTCCTATCTGTTCATTACTTCGTATTGCCCCTTAACCCTTAAATTCCACTTTTTTTGTTTCAGAATAAAGGAGCACAAGCATCAAGCAGATCTTGCCAAGCTAGAAGACAAAAGAGAAGGAGAAGAAATACAGAGATTGAGCCAATTGTACCAATTAGAACTTCTGAGAAAGATGGAAAAGGAACGGGAGGAAAAAGTTGAACGCCAGAGGTTGTATCATGTAAGTAACAGGAAAGCAAAGAGTTCAAAATGTTCACTTTGTTTTGGCTGTCTGGAGTGAAACAGTAATGTTAATTAATATAGCTTAACGGGCCTACTGGCAACAGGAGGTTTGCTGATAGCTTCAGTATGCCATGTACCATGTACCTGCCCAGTTTTATGCCCATTTTTCTTTGATAGGAAAGGGGAATAATTATAGTTTGTGAATATGAAAATAGTTGGAGGGGTTTGCACAGTCCCGTTCCTTTCAGCATTCCCTTCTCCCATGTGTGTGGATGGGAGCAAGGGATAATGCTCCCTGCTTTGCACAGTAATGGGTTGGCAGAAGCAGCTCCAAACCATGTCTGATGCTTGATTCCCCTTCTTTCTCTTCTACCACCTCCCCTTCATGCATGCTCAAACCACATGAGGAAGCAATAAGAATCCCTTTCCTCTCCATTCTCTTTGAAAGAAACATGAAGAAAGGGAGTTGCTAATCCAGGCCTAGATTTTCTAAATTTCATATTATATCAGGATCATTTTGCCTATGCAGGAACATGTAGCTAACCAGAAAATTATCAAAGCAGTGGAGGAACAAAAGCAAATGGAAGACGACGATCGGATTAGAGCTCATTTCAAAGCAAAGCAAACTATTGCCAAGCTGATGAAAAAGAAAGAAGCTGAAATGCGTAGGTAGGTTCAAAGCTAGCTTATAAAATGTATCTAAACTGCACACTTTCTTATTCAAATATTTCAGACTGATGACATAACAAAACCCACAACTATTCTGTAATTAAATTCTACTCAATGGGATACAGAGAATTCAGGACAAAAAGGAAGTTCTTTCACAGCATAATTAGTAATAGATCTCCACACTCCTCAAAGCACAAAGATTTACAAAAGTGCAAAGTTCTACTCCAGTGTGTTGGGAACAGTGATTTTCTACAAGTCCTGACAAGCCTCCACCTTCTCAGCAATTAAAGACAAATAGAATCATAGTTAAAAGTATTTTGGGGCATAAGCTATACTTCTCTGAGATAGATCAAGAAAAATAGTTCTACTTCTTAGCAAGGCACCTATATTAATTAATTAAATTACTTTATTAATAATGCTATTAGCAAGGTCTACCTATTTAACACTGAAAGTACAGCATGAATATGCCAGTGATATGAATCTAACTGTTCCTATTTCTGGCCAATACTTTCTACAGGTCCCTCCTAATAGCAAGATTCCAGGCAGACTCCGAATGATACAGCATTTCACTGCAACAAAAAATCGTGTTACAAAATTATGGGGAACACTTACTTGCTAAATCAGATAATTTAAAAAAAATATGACAGGAGGAATCCAAGGAGATGAAGAAGTGGAATGGGTGGGGTTTGGTAGAAGCAGTGCTTCATGTAGACTGGGTGCATATGTTATGAATACTTATGTTCCTCTGCAGAATAACACAGGAACACCGGGATAAAATTGTTGGGCAATTAGCTGCCCAAATGAGTGAAGTAATGAAGATGGAAGATGAGCGTATTGCTAGAGACATTGCAAAAAAAGAAGCTGCACAAGAAAAAGAACAGAAAGAGAAGGAAGCAAAAAAAAAGGCTGCCATTGAGTCTATTGCTGAACACAGAGCCACTGTGGTAAGAAATCTAACCTGTTCTCCTCCCTCTTTGTGGCATGTACGTAGGAATACCTTCTAGGAATACTATGGTTTTTAGCATGCTAACTGTCAGTGAGACATACCCACAAGTTCTCAGTGGCTGCCTTGCATATTTACAATTTACAGTTACACATCTAACACCTTAAGCAAGCCACAGGGTACCTGAGTTCATCCGTTCGAGTTTGAAAGCTCT